TATGTTTGAAAATGCCAATACCCATTTCTTGGCCATTTGCTGATGATGTAGACTATCAGTTCCCTGCAAAGGAGATAAATCGTTGTTATAAGAAGCTGATTAATGCTCTGTTTCTCTGCCTTCTTGGCTCTGGAATGTCTAACATTAGGTCACCTGATCTAAAGTAAATAAATGAATTCAATCTACTCTAATATGCCTTTAAAATAATATAGTAAAAGCAAAGGCAGGTGTTAAGGCAATCTTTTTTTTTCTTTCTTTTATAATAAGACAAAATGCCTGCTAAAACCTCTCATTTTTATTTCTAGGTTTGTAATTTACTCAGTACAGTTGACCTTTAAACATATATGGGATATACACAGACAGGATATCAAATAAAACAAAAGATTTCTTGGTTTTAATGTATGGCATTTAAATACTCCTTTATTGCACTATTTATAAAACTGTTTTATAGAACACTAAAAAGTATTGGGCTGTTTAAAAATGTTAATCCTATAATTAATAGTCAGAGGCATACGCTTTCCCCAGCACAAGGCACTGATATTCTAAATCTGTCACTCTGAACTTTACAGTAGGAGACAGCCATCTGCCTGCATGCAGCCATCTAAAACAAAGCAAGAATATATGTTCTTATGTTTCCCCTGTGAGATGCAGGATCATTATGATAAATTAGGCAACAAGGTTTAGCTAATATGAATTAATATAGCATATGTTGAGAAAAAAACACATATTAAATCAAACCAATTTGATAAAAGTCAATGCTATTAGGTGATTGGATAGGGATGATTTGATAAAATAGAGCACATTACGTAATGCCAAGTAGAAAGGAAACATGTGTATGGGTGACCCATTACTGAGTCCCATAGCCCTAAAAAACCCTTCTCTGTATTACTGAACCCAGCACAATTTTAATTACGGTTTATACTTAATTTACACCTCAATTTTGCTGTGAAAAATCAAAGTTGTTAAAATAAAATACTTTAATATCCTCTCACAAGAATATTAACTGGAAGTAAAAAAGCAAGGTTGTAAAGAAAAATCAACTTCTGGGGCACCTGGGTGGCTCAGTCGGTTAAGCGTCTGACTTCAGCTCAGGTCATGATCTTGCAGTTCGTGAGTTCAAGCCCCGCATCAGGCTCTGTGCTGACGGCTTGGAGCCTGGAGCCTGCTTCGGATTCTGTGTCTCCCTCTCCCTCTCTCTGCCCCTCCCCTACTCATACTCAGTCTCTCTCTGTCCCTGTCAAAAATAAATAAACATTAAAAAAAATTAAAAAAAAAAAGAAAAATCAACTTCTAACATATCTTTACTTATAGATGCCTGTGCAATTATATGTTTTTTTTCAGAGAATCGTATTGCCATCATTAATAAACAGATTTTTCTGAAATTCAAATCTTGTTCATCTACTTTCTACATTTCAGGTTTTACTGAAATCATTATAGAGATAGATATGATTCTTTTCAGGTCACCTAATGTGCTCTATAGTTTAATTTTATGTGGATCACAGTAATAATCCTCTCTGTAGTAAAAATTTAGTAGATCAACATTAATTTCTTTAGTTTTCTGGCTTTCAAAATTTCATTTTATTTTATTTGAGAAAGAAAGAGAGAGCACATGCATGCGGAGGGGTGGGGGAGAGTGGGGGAGAGAGAATCTTAAGCAGGCTCCATGATCAGTGTAGAGCCCCATGCAGGGTTCAATCCCATGACCCTGGGATCATGACCCTAGCTGAAATCAAGAAGCAGACATTCAATCGAATGAGACACCCAGGCACCCCCAAAGTTTTATTTTTTAAAGAAAATTCTTTTTTTTCCTGAAATAAAGATACTTATTATGTAGAGACTAAAGAATAAGAAAATTCAGAAATTCCATGCCCTGCTATCATGTTAAATTTGATATTCTAACTAGTATAGCAATGGAGCATCATGGTTAAATGTGAAGTCTGGAGTCAGCCAAGATTGCTTCTAATCCTACCTCTACCACAGACAGACTATGAGACCTTCAGTGAGTAATTTAACAGAGTCTAGGCTTTAGATTTCTCATTTGTAAATTGGGTTAATTTATAGTTCCCACTTCAGCTGGGTTATTCTGAGGGTTAAATGAAATAAGATGCATGAAGCACTCAGTGCAGTGTCTGGTAAATCAGACCCTTCACAGTGATAGTATGTAAATTTCATTCTGGAAGCATAATTTCATATATTTTAGCTGTTGAATGTACTCAATAAAGGACTCATTAAAAAATTATTTTCATAGCAATTATCTTTAAGTTCTAAGCATTTTAATACTGATAATATTTCTAATATACATAGAGAGAGAGAGAGAGAGAGCAAGAGAGAGACAGACAGAGAGACAGAAAGACAGAAAGAGACAGAGACAGACTGATTTAGGGACTGTTTATCCAAATCAAGATTTTTACCATGTAGGTGAAACACTGAAACTGGCATAGAATATTGTTTATTGAAATCTACACTTAGAAATTGTGGCATTTGGCCAATCTAGATAATACTATAAAAAGTCTCATCATGGTACTAGATTCCTGAATCATGGGTCTTAGGCACCCATCCTCATCTGTCAATCGGGATTGTAAAATGCATACCAGTATGAATTACATTAGAGCACTAGATTGAAAACACAAACCTGTTCTTGACTTTATGACTGAAAGAAGAAAGGTACTTAATTCAAATTTAAGGGATAAACGATTAAAACAACCTAAAATTCTTATACTTAGAAATAATATTCCAGGGGCGCCTGGGTGGCTCAGTCGGTTGAGCGTCCGACTTCAGCTCAGGTCATGATCTCACGGTCCATGAGTTCGAGCCCCACGTCAGGCTCTGTGCAGACAGCTCACAGCCTGGAGCCTGCTTCAGATTCTGTGTCTCCCTCTCTCTCTGACCCTCCCCCATTCATGCTCTGTCTCTCTCTGTCTCAAAAATAAACATTAAAAAAAAAAAAGAAATAATATTCCAAATTCTAAAAATGCACATTACACTGCATTATAAGTATTACACATGAAATATTTCCCAAAAAAGGAGGAAAGAAAAAGATAATACTATGACAACTCATACTATAAAAAAAGAGTTCTATTGCATAAATTTTGTTTAGAGTATCACACAAGCTCAGATATTACTCAAAGTTCTTTAAAAAGTCTGTAATTGGCAATAATTATTTACTCACAGTTTCTGATTATTTTGCACTCAGAAATTAGTACTCTATACTGGATTACCTAATTTTTGCAATGCACATAATCCAATTATTAGTTTTTAAAATATTATAAATTCAATAGGAAAAACATTAGAATGTAAAAGGCAGGAAGTGATTAATAATGCTGAAAAGAGAAAAATAAAATATCCCTAACAACAAATATAAACAGAGATTCCCAGTCCTTTTCCTGAGGTCAATTTTCTACATTCTGCAACCCAAAACACCAAATAGAATTAAACCACAGTCAAGCCTTGGGTTTAACTCCAAATAAGCCTGGATTTATATCTTTCTGGAGAAAGTACAGGTCTGTACATCCAGTGTTAAAGCTGTTCAGTAAGGAGTTAAAGGAGGGAGAACGGGGGATTCAGTAGGAGAGATAAGGATTATGGCTGGGGGGTCATTTGTAGTCTAATGTGTATGACTGACCATGAGATATAGCCAATAACTAAAGACTCCTCATTTCATTACATCAATTTCACTATCACTAGTAAATTTGATTTAAAAAAAACATTAAAAATCAAAGTATAGATTAATAAATTAATCTAGTATATTAATAAATAAAATAATTTATTATAAAAATAAAAATAATTAAGAAGGGTATTTTTCTAAAACTCTACCTAGCATGAAATTAAAAAAAGAAAAAGCCCTCTCAGAGATTTAAATGGCTAAGTGTGGATCTAAAAGAGCTTTACAGTCCAAATTATGTTCCTAGAACTCTATTTACAGAATGTAGTATAAATGGTCTCATACTGTAGCAGAATTGGCAAGTCTCATATTTTGCAGACATATGAAATATTCACTCAAAAATCAAGCAAAGTGATGTTTTCAAAAGCATTTTACAGTTAAAAAATAGACTTTAAGGATACATATTATTTATACAATGAGACTGAAAATAGACCATGTTTCCATTTTTTTTGCTTTTAACTATATTTACTTGTTTACTTGGCTGAATATTAACACATAACAGTCACACAGGGTCATTTGGCAAGAAGAGCTGAATAACATATATGTGCCTATGAGTTTGCTTCCAGAGGTCTCACATTTTGGTGTTGAAAAAGGATTTAAACACAATCTTGGACAAATAATGAAATTCTCTGCCATATGAATCACTATCCAATAGTAATCCCCATCCTCACCTCCTCAATTTAGAACCAGTGATTAATTTCACATAGAAAACAATGTCACTTTTCAGCTATTAGTGTAAGGACATGCATCATGACCTAATGCCTTTGTAATCTGCCCAGGGCGTTTCTGGCTCTAATTGCCCATCACTGCTTTAATTAACTGAGTGACTCTTAGGAGGCCATTAGATGTTTGCAATAGGGAAATTCTCTTTTGATTCATAAACAGCTCCATTAATGCTAAAACCATGTTCTTAAGTATCAAAAAAAAACCAATCTTAACAAAATAATTTAAATATGGGGATCTGCTTACGAAATACAAAAAAACACTGATGTGATTAATAATTAAGCAATAAAAATAGTATACAATAGAACCTAATTGTTTCTATGCTGACAAAAGATGGACACACCATATTTTTAGAACAAACTACATGAAGAACACTACATTTCCACCTAAACTTATTTTTTGTGGCAGCTGAAAATATATTTTGAACGGCAATCCTAATGGAGAAAATAAAATCTTAGGTTTGCTTCTACAATACTGAACCAAAAGTGTTCTATCATAATTCGTTTTTAAATAAAATTATACAGATGTTTCTTGTTTCTGTCAACATGCTTACTATAAGGTTGTAATTCTCTTGTCACCTCTAGAGAACTTTTTAAAAACAATGAAGATCGATTACCTTGTTCACAGAAACGGCCAGTAAAATGTAGCGGACAGTCACAGTGGAATGAGAAGGTACCGCTGGAGAGGGAGACAGGATGACAAGTGCCTCCATTGTAACACAGGTTCTCCTGGCACACGGGTGGCGCTACAGGAGGGGTGCCGAGGGAGGTCCACGTGGAGTCAACCCCTTCTGTTGCACTAGAAGGAGCAACAGAAGACACTGTAGACAGAGTGGACTCCTGGGATCTAGATTTATAACAAGATCAGAAAACACAATATAAGTAAAAGTACATGAATTTAAACAGAAATAACAGAAACTCTGGTTTAAAATAAGATGAAATAAAAACAACACATATCAGCGGTTTAACCTAGGGTAAAGAGAATTATGTTTGGTTTCCAGTTGTGGGATTTACAAATGTTGAAAATGCCTGAGCTCTAGAATGTGACCTCAGGTGGATCACAGAGCTATAGTCCATCTATGTGGTTCTGAGAAGCTAAATTAATTTCTTCTAAGTACTTAAGAAACCTGAATGTATCAGCCTCCATAAGCCTAAGTGTTTTCTTACATAAAAGAATCAGAATGTGGCTAAGTATAGCTCTACTTTGACTATTTTAACCCTCATGAACCTAAGTTAAAAAAAAAAAAATGAGGCCATGTTACATTTTAATGGTAAAACCGCTTGCACTTGAATTATTTCTAGGTTGATTACTAGAAATGTGTATTCCTCAAAGTGACTTGCATTCAAGAGTTACCCCAGAGGTACCTTAGAAATGCCTGCAAGTGATTCTCTTAAATTTTTTTCCCACAAATTTTACTACCAGTTTAATTTTTTTCTTCCTTAATAAATAATGAAACAACAACAAAATCCCTTTGAATTAAGTTGAAGTTCCTTACTTTTATATTCAAAGCCTCTTGGTAATGGAATTCTTCTTTGTTTTCCAGCTCACTTTATCATGATTCCTAATAAATACCTTAACTTCTCTCATACCCAATGAGATGACTATTCCTTCAAAACTCCGAACGTTCTGAATTTATGCAGTTTGTTGAACTACTTTCTACGCATTGTTGCTCCTCTCTTGCTATCTAAGTTTCACCTAAAGTGCCAAGTCAAAATCTATCTTATTTCCTCTAGATAGCCTTCCTTCTTCATTGGTCCTTAAGATGAAATTGGTATTTCTTTCATCTTTAAAATTCCGTATGTCAATGTACCACTGCTGGAATATTTTCCACTGGCTTGGAGTACATTTTTTAATTTTAGGTAGAGCTACAGGCTGTACATTGGTCATTGTTTTTCTACCTTCCCCCCACACACAAACTCCTCATTTTGGCAGAATTCCTTATTCATAGTAAACAAATGAATTGATGTCTTCAGAGTGCTCCTGAGTGTTACATTACTGTTTGGAAGCAGTGCTTTTGGAATTTTCATTTAATAAAAATCACTAGGAGAATTATCTTTTTAATATAAAAAAAATCTTCCTGCAATAACAAATAAACAACAGCTTAACTATCTGAGTAAATTTTTATTTTGTACATTGTCATAAAGATAAAACTTTGGCAAAAGAAGTCCGTTCAAAAGTTATCTTCAGACTGACGTTCAGAGACTCAGTCATTTTTGCATTCCTGTCTATTACCATGTCAATTTATTGGAATAAAAAAGCTGAAGAAAATGAAATAGATAAATTATTAAAACATTTTACCAAAACCAAAATAATATTAATTGGCAGGTCATTTCTTTTGTTTTACAATGCTCTTGCAACCTGAAATTTCTACTTATGATGTTTATCACAGGTTGTAACCATATATTTATATTTTTGATGAAGCCAAACTGTCTTCTCTCTCCTCAATGTCCACAAAGAATGGATGGATCATCTCTGCTCATTTCTTCATGTTATCCCTAACAAAAATGATAATCCTCAAGTAGACTTTTCAAGAAATATTTTATAAACTAATTTGAATAATTTTTGTAAACATCCAATGTACCACAGTACCAACAAGAAAAATAGCAAGTGAAAATAAGTTTATATTTAGGGTCCATTTCATAACTCCATTACACACCATGTTTGGTTTTATAAATAATATAAATTCTAACACTTCTGATGCAATCTTGCAATCAACTTTCTCAGATTTCATTCCGTTAGATTAGCATAATTCTCCCCATTTGTACTCATAGTATAAATTTGTCCCTTTAAAGTAACTTCCATTAAGCAATGCTAATTTGAAATTCATGGGATTTATTACTCAGTATTCCGTATTCTAATTTAATTTTTATTTCATTGTTTCTAAATGATTTCACCATTTCATCTATCTCTTCTATAGACTTCATGAACTGTAGTCAATTATCTCTTTCAGGAATAAATTAGACTGAATTAAATGTCACTACTTCTTTCTTCTACAGTAGCTGCTAAGGGAGTCTATGTCTCACCTGAAAAAATCAATATGTTGCACATTTCAGCTGCTAGCTGATTATACAAAAATAATTACTGTTAATTGATCCATCAATTAAAACAGCAGGGCCATAAATCAAATTTTGAAAACAGCATTAATTTAACATATTCTGTTTTTAAGGTCAAATTTGGTATTTGATATATCACTATTAACAGCCCTTCACTTTCAGTGTTTTTCTTTTCTTAAATTATAAATTATGTCATAACCTCACCTATTTTAGAATTAAAGTAAACTTTATACAATTTTAATAGATTTAAAAAGAAACAAAAATTTCTTCTGATAACATTTTAACTTATTTTTACTTTATGTAAAATAGGTTAAACATAAACAAATAAACATGGACATTAAATACAATTAGATGATAGTCATACTGATATAATTAGTAATGTACAAAAGGAGCATTAAATTTATAATTGCTTTCATTCTAAAAATCATGACTATATGAAAGCTTACAAATAAATCAGGATTCAGGGTTTTCAACACTTTTAAACCAATAATATTGTAAAACTTCATTGCCTTTCTTATTACTATCAGTCTAAAATAATAAGTATAAAGAATCTGCTGGATTGTCTCTTGGGTATCTCTGGACAAGGATATAGTGATGAACCAGTCATTGGTATAACAAGCAGTAATCTCTAAAGACCTTTTTCTGAATGAATTAATGATTGAATGAAATGCTAATTTTACTCAAAATTAAGCCTGATCCTTAGAGAAAGGCACCTTGATATGACAGTGATTACTAATCATGTTGTGGGAGTTCTGGGTGGAAGAAAGGAAGACCCTCCACTCATTGTCTCATTCCTGCCATTCTCTCATTTCCAGAAAGTTCTACAAAATCATTTGCCTGGCAGGCAGCAAGCAATTCACATTGTTTCAGCCTGAGGGATTTTACTTGTTAGCTGACTTTATCACTGTTTAGCATACATTTGTCTGGCTTCAATTTCTTAGAAGAAAGAATGGACTCACTCAAAATTATGAAGCCCTGCTTCATAAGCAGAGAAGCAGGGTTTTTGGAATTATGAGGAAGTATTAAAAAGAAAAACTTAGCCAGAGGAGTCTTGAGTTTGTGGCTCTTAACAGTATAGGGGGAAAGAAATCTTCAAAAATCATTATAATTAAATTTTTAAAGTGGGAAAATAATCTAGGCAATAAAAGACATATACTTGATGTACAAATAATATGTATACTGTTTTTTAAAAATGAGAATAGTTGTATAAACATACATACTCCCTTCTACTTTATCTTTTCACCTACTAGGATATGCTCATTTGCTCTTTACTTTTTCACCTAAAAATAATTCTTAGCATGCTGCCCTATCAGTAGGTACAGTTTTTCATTTTCCTTTTTAAGTTGCAAAGTGTTATACTGTTTAACTATACATTATTGCTTCTATCAGTTTGGAATTAATATATTTAAGCTGTTTCAAGTTTTTCCTCTAATATCTGGGTCATACATTTATTTTAATAGGTATATAGATATACTTTGCAGAGGATACCCATTTTAAGTACAAGAGTCAATGAATTTTAGTAGATTGAGAGGTGTGCAAACATCAACATAACCTAATTTTATATTTTGTCTTCCCTAAAATTATACTATTTCTGTGGAGTTTCTTAGTGGTCAGGCCCTCAGTTCCCATTTAGCGTAACTGTCAACATCTAGTCATCTTTTAGTGGTGGTGGCGAATAGGAATAAACTCAAAGAATTTAATTTCTGCTCTATCAAAATCATGAGAACATCATGCTATCAAATAGAGCTTGAAACGTACTGAAAAATGGCTTCAAAATTTTATTTAAATTGTCAGCATTGTCTACTAGCTTCAAAATTCATGTTGTCTTGTCTTTAGTTTGATCTAATAGTGAATTCTTTCTGAAAGCAAAACACAGAAAAATGTTTGCTATTTAAGATGTATTCAATTACCATAACTACATTAAAAGAGGAAATATGTAAAATTACTGTTAGTACTTATAAAATTCTCATTTGCCATTCAAGACAAAAATTAAATATCAAACAAAAATTATACCTGGAAGAATTGATCTGAAAACACGAATCCCAGGTATTATTACTCTTCTTTTTTTCACATAACATTATGCAATAGAATAATCATATCCTAATAACAAATGCAATATTTAACATTTTATTTTATTTTTTCCTAAAGTTTATTTTGGAGAGAGAGAGAGAACAAGCACAAGTGGTGAGGGGCAGAGAGAGAGAGAGAGAGAGAGAGAGAGAGAATCCCAAGCAGGATCCAGGCTCTGAGCTGTCAGCACAGAGCCTGACATGGAGCTCAAACTCACGAACTGTGAGATCATGACCTGAACAGAAGTCAGATGCTTAACCAACTAAGCCACACAGATGCCCCAATATTTCACATTTAAAGCACAAGTAAATTCATTCACTATTAACATAATAGTGGGATTTTAAAAGATCTTGTTTTGACATTGTCCCAATTTTTCTCACTAAAGAAATACATTTCTCATTCTCACAATCTTGTATGTTTTAGCTCTTACATATTCATAGATAAGTTTCCTTAGATCACAAGCATTCTCACATAACCGAAGTTCGCAGAATTGCTGTGTGTTAAGCAGAATAGTACCCCAAGGCATTCCAAGCCGCTGCTGTCCCTCAATACACAGGGTGGGTAATTTTGAAGAGCTGTACTCTCACTGATTGGTTATGATTTTCTTTTCCCATGTCAGCCCTACTGAGGATTGTTCCTGATCAGGGAGAAGGTGCAAGCTGTCCTGATCTTGATTCCCGAGTCCAACCCTGCATGGGAATTAAATCAATGCTTTCTGCCAAT